AATGGTGAGATTCTGGGAGGTATTAAGAATGAGAGAGGTTTGAGACAAGGAGATCCTCTCTCCCCTTATATTTTTGTTCTTTGCATGGAAAGACTTTCTAATATGATTCATTCCAAGGTTGACAGTGGTCAATGGAAGGGTATCAAAGCAGCTCATAATAGTCCTCCTATCTCTCATCTTTTCTTTGCCGATGACCTTATTTTATTTGCCAAAACTGATAGCTCCAACTGTGATGTTATTATGGAAGTGCTCTTTGATTTTTGTGCTGTCTCTGGGCAAAAAATCAATTATTCCAAGTCCAAACTTTTTGTTTCTCCTAACCTTTCTCATAACAAAGCCTTATCTTTGAGGTTCCAGAGTGGCATCCCTCTAACTCAAAACCTTGGTCATTATCTTGGTTCTCCCATGATCCATGGTAGAGTCAATAGAAACATGTTTAAGGGTATTATGGATAAGTTAAAGAGTAGACTGTCTGGTTGGAAAGCTAGAAACCTTTCCTTAGCTGGCAGAACCACACTCATTCAGTCTGTTACATCTGCTATACCCAACTACATCATGCAAACCATGGAGATTCCAAGGAGGCTCTGTGTTGATATGGATAAACTTAATAGGAATTTTTTATGGCGTGAAACTGACTCCATAAAAAAAGTTCACCTGGTTAACTGGGATAGTGTTTACAGGAGCAAGGCTAAAGGTGGGCCTGGCTTGAGAAAAGCAAGGAATCAAAATGCAGCTCTATTGACTAAACTTGGGTAGAAAATGCTGAGTGACACTGATAAATTATGGTGTAGAGTTCTGCAAACTAAGTATTTGAGGAGGAATTCTCTTTTTAATTGGTCCCTTAAGAGGAATTCTTCCCATATTTGGAAAAGCATATGTAAAAACAGGAAATTTCTCAAGAAAGGTGTCAAATGGAATGTGGATAATGGTGAAAAAATATATTTGTGGTGTGACTGGTGGTGTGGTCAACACCCACTAGCTGAAACATACACTTCCCAAAAGGATAATGTTCTCCCAAAAGTTGACACAATTCTGGATGAAGAGGGCAATTGGGACATAGAGGCTTTGGAAAATATTTTAAGTCATCAAGATATCCAGAAAGTCATTAAAGTTCATAGGCCCAGATTTGTCACACATACTGATACTCCTGTTTGGGTTGGATCCACCTGTGGTAATTTTACTATAGCGTCAGCCTATAATCTCATTGTGGGCCAGGTTGTTGATAGCAGAGATTGGAAATGGATCTGGAAATTAAAAGTTCCCCAGAAACTTAAATGCTTTATCTAGCTTATGCTACAAGGGAGACTCCTTACTAACCACTTGAGACTCTTGAGGAATATGGCCATATCTAACCTGTGTCCTCGATGTGGTTTGGTAAGTGAGGATATGAGCCATCTATTCAAAGACTGCAACACTTCCAAAGTCATTTGGACTGCAATCAAAGATCTTAATTGGTGGGAGAAGGGTTGTGATAGGCCTTTATTTGAATGGATTACCTCCAATTTAAAATCTAAAAACAAATTTTTTAGACAAAATTGGCAGCTTGTGTTTTTAACTACTCTTTGGCAAATTTGGAAAAACCGTAATAAACTTGTGTTTGAAAATGTGATCTCTCCTATTCAACTCAGTCTCAAGAACATTTTTAACTATGTTCATGAGATTGATGAGGCCAATCAATTTGCCCTTCATTCCAGACCATATCAACACAAACTAATTCATTGGTTTTATCCACCTGCAGGGAAGCTTAAACTCAATGTTGATGGATGCTCAAAAGGAGACCCAGGCCAAGCTGGATATGGAGGGCTGCTGCGAGATGAAATGGGTCTATGGATCTGGGGTTTTTATGGAAAACTTGGACACTGCTTAAGCCTTGAAGCTGAATTGTGGGCTATATACGGAGGCCTTACAATCTTATTCCAGAAAGGCAATCAGGGAGTGGAAATCGAATCTGATTCAGAGTTGGCAATCAACCAAATTCAATCTGCTCCATGTTCGAATATGGCATATAAAGCTCTCGTTGAGGATACTAAGTTCCTGCTAAAGAGATGTGATTGCTCCCTGCGGCATACTCCAATAGAGGGTAATAGATGCGCAAATAAACTTGCAAACATGGGAGTTGCACAAGATGACCATGTTCTGCTGCTGGAGGATCCCCCGAAGAAGTAAAGACTCTGGTCATAGATGATATGACTGGAGTTAGAGTGCTGAGGGACTAGTTTTTTGCTTATCTGTTGACTAGCCTAGCTAGTTTTCTTTTCTGTTCTGTTGTTTAAACATTTCCTATGAATTAAACCTATGAAAAAAAAAAAAAAAACTCCAGATTTTTTTCTAAAATTAAAATTAAAAAAAATGGACAACTAATTTAGATGGAATTGTTAATATTAAATAAAAAGATGAAATTAGTATAAAGAATTAAAATGTTTCAAAATATTTTGTGAAAAATAGAAAGTAATAGTCCATAATGAAAATCATAATTTTTAAAAATAAAATAAAATATATTAATAACTTTCCTATTTTAAGTTAGAACGAATTACACCATCAGTCCCTATAGTTTGGGGTTCGTGTTTCTTTGGTCCTTGACTTTTCAATTATGACATATTTGATCATGAATTTTGAATCTTATTTTAAATAAGAACAATTGAAGATACCATTGTTTAATTTCAAGGGCAAAATATGACGAATTACACTAACAGTCCCTATAGTTTGGGATTTGTGTCACTTTGGTCCATGATTTTTCAATTATGACATATTTGATCCTAAATTTTAAATCTTGTTCCAAATAAGGACAATTGAAGATACCATTACTTAATTTCAATGGCAAAATTGTTAATTTGATAAAATATAAATTAATTTCACAAAAATATATGTCAAAATTTTTTTAAAAAAATTTAAAAATTATTTATATTTACCAAAGATAAAATTATGTAAAATTGATAAATCTTTTAAAGATTTATTTATTTATTTATTTACCAAATTAATTTTTAGGGTAAATTATACTGACACCCCCTGAGGTTTGGTTCGATTACATCTCACCCCCTGATGTTATAGAAATTACATTCTCACCCTGTGGTTAATAATCCCATTTCACAAACCCCCTACATATATAAAAAGCAGCAACTCCTAATAGAAAAACAAAAGAAATTACATTGAAAAAAAAGAAAAGAAAGGAAAGAAAAATAAAATAAAAGAAGTAAAGCAAAATAATAAAAGAGAGAGTGTATGAATTCAATATTTTTCATACCAATTTTAATTTCGTCTAAATAATTACAGTGACAAGGGGTCAGTATAATTTCTCAAACATCATGGGTGATATGTATGAAACCCAAATCTCAGGGAATGTAAGTGTAATTTACCCTAATTTTTATTAGTTTGTGTTTAGATGATGATAGAGTAATGGGTGATTGTTATGATTTTAATGTGTAATCGATATATTTAATATATAAAATATTTTTAGTTTTAGATTTTTTGATCTAATGGATTGGTTTACTAATAATATCAAAGTTGTCGCCATATTTGACTTTTGAAAAAATAGAAACTAATTTAATAAAAATAAAAACAACCATTCATTACGTGATCATCATCCAAACCCATAATAAAAATTAATTTGGTAAAATAAATAAATGTCTAAAAAATTTATCAATTTTACATAATTTTATCTTTAGTGGGTAGATATAATTTTTAAAAATTCAAAAATATTTTTTGCTATTTATTTTTGTCAAATTAATTTATATTTTATCAAATTGACAATTTTGACATTGAAATTAAGTAATGGTATCTTCAGTTATCTTTATTTAGAACAAGATTCAAAATTTAAAATCAAATATATCACAATTAAAAAGTTAAAAACTAAAATGATACAAACCCAAAACTATAAGGATAGTTAGTATAATTCGTGATTTTAATTTAACAATTTATTAGTCCACCACCACAAGGACTCATTATAAACATTAGATCTAGAGAATAAAAATCCTTTTTTCTTGTGTATCACTAAAAACCTATAAATATACTATGGAAAGTAACAAAAGTAGATCAAGAGAATAGAAATCGGATTTTATTGGAGTGAGTTGGGATTGATATATATAAAAGTAAAAGAAATTTGGTTTGTGGTTTCCAATTCCAGGTATATGGTGAAGCAAATCGAGAACAGCAAAGCTCGAAGATTGACTTACAAGAGAAGATTGAATTGTATCAAGAAGAAGACTATGGAGCTCACCACTCTGTGCGGCATCAATGCCTGCTTGGTCTGTTTGGGGCCGAACGGAGAGGTCGAGACGTGGCCCGAGAAGCCGAGCGACGTGAGAGATGTGATCTCCAAGTATAAAGGACCTTCTGAGATTGAATCTGAATCTGAAACTGATGTTTTGGATGAAAAAATTGAAGAGGTCGAGAAGGAGATCGAGGCCATCAAGAAGAAAAATTTGGGGAAGATTTCGATGTTGATGCAGTTAAAGAGAATAGAGTTGCCCAAAAGAGCAATCTAGATGAGGATTTGATGAGATATTGGAGCAGATTAAAATGGATGGTTTGAACCGCAATTATATTAGTAAGCCACTTGTTACTGATAAAATTACGGATGAAAAAAAATTACACAGTCCATGTTTTGCATTTCATCAAATAAGGGATGAAAAAGAATTAAAGATTCCATCTTTTATATTCCATGATATGAAATACTGGATGAAAAAGAAACAGAGATTCCATCTTTTACATTCCAATGTAAAGAATCCGTCAGAATTTGGGAGTTAATTCATTCCATACATATTTGTTTAGTTTAGTTACAATTGTACCTATTAGTTTGATATTGAATTAGTTTTGATGTTATGTAGAAATCATGTTCATGTTACATGGTACTCTCACTATCTCGTAATTGTAATTATCAGTGGTCATTATCAATGGTCTATTCCATCGTGTGACAATAAGACTCAAATTTAGACATTACACCGGTTTAATATAGAAGAAAGACAAAAATAAGACTCAAATTTAGACATTACACCGGTTTAATATAGAAGAAAGACAAAAATAAAGGTTCTTGACATATTTATTAGAATTTGAACTAGTTGCCAACACAAAAGGATAATTAAAAATTAACATGTACAATGCTCAGTGAAGCTTCTCGCCAATCCAAAAAATAGGACATAAAAGAAATATGACACACAAGATATTTTACTCTCTCAATGCAATTTAACAGGTATTCTGGTTTGTATTAAAGGCATACTGGTCCAGCAACACATGTAAATTCATGAATTGTATCTCCCGTAAGAACCAGAGATTATATTACAACCCTTCATTCCCCTTGATCCGAGCAGACTTCTTATCTTTCTTTCTTCTGGGAGCACCGACAGCACCAGGGTCCACCAATGGGCCAGACCAAGTTTGGATGGATGGTTTTGAATACAAGAAATTCATGGAACTGAATGGGACATCAGGAGGGTCAAATGCTGGATCCATGTGATGTGAAGAACCTAAAGGGTAACCGAGTGTTCCATCCTGGTGTGGGGGAGGAAATTTCTCACTTTTGCTCTTGGCATTTGCATGCGTTATTAGACGCCGCCTCTGTTTTACAAATAAACAAGACACAGCAGTGTAGATCAATCAATTAGTACTTAACAATAAAAACCCAAGTTTGGAAGGAAAACAAAAAAAAACAAAAATTCCATGATAGATACCACATGAATGAACCAAGACATTATTTTAGCATTAAAAAGCAATTCCCACTCAATGTTGAAATAAGTTTCATCCATAAAAACATCTGAAGCCTTAGTGTTGGTAAATTTAAATAACCAAAGCATGAAAAAACAATATAGCTGAAAGAAGAAGTTTATCAGACATACATCAAGATTAGCTTGCAGCTCAGCATTGGCTCCCGGAACAGGGATTGCTCTTACAGCTCGATCACGCGTACGAGTTTTCTTCACAGCATCAGCATTGGATTTACCAGCTCTAAGTCTAAATTCATGAAACTCATTTCAGCTCCCCATGAGAGAGAAAACTATAAATGAACACTCATTCAATATTGTCTTAGCTAAGAAAATTGATGACATAATTATCAACTGACTGGGAAGTATAAAATAAATCAAGAAAACTGATACATGGGTGAATAAATAGTCACAAAACTTATGCAGGGATAATTTCTTATCAATTGCTCAAAATTACAAGAACTTATGCAGCACAATTTTCTTAGTAAATTTCTTATGAAGGTTTTTTCTGTAAGTGATTTGTTATACAGTTCATTCGTTCATAATTTCCCATTATAGCAACAAAAAATATTTTTTTTATTTTTATTTTCCTTTTCTATGCATAGTTTTGGAAAAGAAGCAGGGATAGTGAAGATTGCAATCAGAATTTTAGAATATCAAGATTTAATAATTAAAGTCCTCTACCAACCTTCTAGCTTCTTCATCCCGTCGTTTAGCATCCATCTCCTTGCTGGGAGGATATTTTGGAAGACTTGAAGGATCACAAGCATAAGGTTTGGTTATGAAGAACTGTCAAAAAGAAAGCAACTTATACAAATTTGACAATCCACTAGTATGAATAATAGTAGGCTCTTTTTAACTTTTAACCCAAGGACTTTTTCTTCGATTTTTCAATAAAGACCTTTTTTGGTTCCGTTCCTTCCCTTATAATATAATAAAAACAAATTTTAAAAAAAAATTCAAAAATATAAGGTGATTATAGCCCCCCACAGAATAAAGTAAATACCATGTTGTCAAAATCGACAGCCTAGATTACTAGAGAATCTTACCTGAACAAATATTGTCTACAAATTTGCCCCGAAAGGCTTCTTATAGTACAAAGCAATTCCCTCTATTTGTGGCAAGAATCTTTTAGCTAAGGTAGCATAGCATGTGAATGCGTATCCCTTCAAGAATAAACAATTTTCTAGGTGCAAATCATAAGTTGATGTAAAACATGCACATCATCGATACAACATTGTTCTATACACAAGATAGTAACAAGAGAAAGACTTGACTTATCGAATGTACTTTCACGGGGGTGACTAAAAAAGCACCAACTCTTAGGCTAAAAGACTAAGGCCCTGCTTGGCAACACAATTAAGCACTTAAAACTGAACACATTCAGTGTATTCACAATTAAGTGCGTTGAATAACATATAACAGTTTACCGCTTAAAATCTGAAGATTGACTCAAAATAGGTCCAAGTCAGAAAGACTCAACTTAAAGATTTTCATTTTCATTCTCAACTAATAACACATTTAAATATTTCAGCACTAGATATTCAGTAGTAAACTTTTCAGCACATAAATTTCAGTTTTATCAAAAAGATTCAGCAAGGACTTTAGAAACTATTTGGCAATCCTGGGCCTCATTAATTGAATTAATTCATTTCACTAATCTCTTAGTCATATCCTAAAAGGAGAACCTTACATATTTTGATAAGTGATTAACATGAAAAAATAAACTCGAAAGTTATTTGACCATAAACTCGTTCAAAGCAGAGGAAAAACAAGCAGAAACCACCCAAACAAGAGCCTATATTGCAAATACAACAAATAAAGAGGGGCAATAATATAAAAGCTCACTTCACTCCTCAATGCAGCTGTGGCAGTTTGACGTTCAGCGTCAATTGTGAGAAGTGTCTTAATTAACGGCAGTGATGACGGTGGAAAATCTTTAAATGTCTCTGCTATACATCTTTTGTATGATTGTTGGGGCTTAAATAAGGTTGCATGTGGCAGCTTCGACTTTTTCCAGTATTCTTCAGAAGGAGAGCCACATAGCTTGAATATTTTGTGCAGCTGCTCCACCTAATTAAAAAAAGAGAAAGAACAAAAAAAACAAACATTGTCATGGCAAGAACAAAAAAAACAAACATTGTCATGGAAACAGTAGGACTCACAAAAACCATTTAATTGTCGATTTTAACATTCAGCAACTAAATCAAGGTGTATAATGTTATTAAAACCTGTCCTTTTGTAATTGCTAAATATGCAGCCAGCTTCATAAGCATACCCATATCCAGAAAAAGCCACTCTATATATCTTAAACTGTGAGAAGCAACAACATCAAATGGTTAAAAGCACAAGCATCTAGAGGAATATCATGGTATTATAAAAAACTAAGGGGTTGTTTGGGGTGTCCTAAATAAGTGTACTTTTTGCCTTTTTGGACTAAAAAATTGAGGTTGAAAATATGGATGTTTGGGTTAATTTTTTGACTTTTTATGGAAAAATGTGTAATAAAAAATTGTAAAATTGGTTTGTAGAGGAAAATTTGAATTGGGGGTTGGTAGGGAAAAATTCGAATTGGGACTTGTGCTAATTGTTGACTTTTGGTAAATAGTGTTAACTTTTTAACTTTTTGAATAACTTTTTGACTTTTTGACTTTTTTACAAGTTCCCAAACTTGGCCTAACTCTTAATAAAATAAAATAAAAAACAATCACTAATCATAATGCTTACGAGAATGTATTCCTAATGTTCCGTTTCATGTTCTAACAAACATTGGTGAAGATTCAGTATACCTTATTCGGCCAAATTAATGTTGGGCGAGGCTCAGTAATATCTTCATCATCACAATTACAAACATCATAAAACAGCAGAAACACCTCTTGTAATTATTCTTTTTGCATTAAAACAAATGGAGATAAGACATACACAAGACACTTTTAGATATCATCAACCTTCTCAAATAGTCAAAACAAATTGTCATTTCATTCATTTCTCAACCAGGACTAGGAGTAGAATAGTGAATTACTCAGAGCAAACAGAATAACCTAGTACTCTCCAAAGAGTCAGAATGGTTGAGGTATTACTCAAAAGGGGTAAAAGTCAAGAAGTTTCAAAGTTACCTCTGTTCGACCAGGCATGATAGGCTTCCCAGCCAACAGCTCGGCAAGAATGCAACCTGCACTCCATAGGTCCACACCTACACTGTAGTCAGTGGCCCCTAAAAGTAGTTCCGGGGGCCGATACCATAGGGTAACCACCCGACTAGTCATTGGCTGCTTGTGATTAGGGTCAAAAACTGAGGCCAACCCAAAATCAGCTATCTTAAGAACCCCTCCATGGTCAATAAGAAGATTTGAGCCCTTAATATCACGATGCAGCACATGTCGATTGTGACAATGTTCAAGCCCCGACAATAGTTGATGCATATAGCACTTGACCTGCCACATATCACAGACAAAACATAACATACACAGCTACACTTAAACACTGTAATCAAAATTTAACCTTGAAGAACTATCAAACAAACAAATATAAGCTAACCTGAGCCTCGGTGAATTTGATTCCTGGGCTCGAAGCGAGTCCAGCCAAATCATGATCCATATATTCAAACACAAGGTACAAACTACAAGACATCCTTGATGTCACTAAACCTTGCAATTTCACAACATTGGGGTGATCCAGCCGTCTTAGAATCAAAATCTCTCTAGCCATAAATTTCACACTCTCTGGCTCCAAATTGTCAAATCGAACCTTTTTCAATGCAACAATTTTCCCACTAATAGCATCCCTAGCTTTGTACACATTACTATACGTGCCTTGCCCAATCTAATCACAAAATTATGAAAGCAATCAACAAAGAATAAGACAATAAACCTTTTAAAAAAAAACAATAATTGGCAACTAAATTAAGAAATACAAATGCTTGCCTTGTCAATTTTCTCAAAAGTGTCAGCTCGCCGAGGCGTCCACCCATTAATTGCCTCACCGGCAACAGCGGAGAGCCAAGATGGCCACCCAGCAGCCACTTGCTCGCCACTGACATGCTTTGGTGGGTTGCTCAGCCTTGGATTCGGCTTAGACCTCCTTCTCTCTCCTCTTGACTTTGTACTCTCATCCTTATGCTCCTCCTTATGATCACCACCATTCTCAACCTCGCCGCCCTCCTCGGCTTTCACAACCGTAATCCTCTCCACAGATGGCACTGCCAAATCCCTCTGCCTCTCCTTCTCTCTCCCCTTCTCTACTACTACAACCTCCAAGCTAGGCTGTCCGGACGACGAAATCTCTCTCCCAAACACACAACCCATCTCTCACCCACCAAAACCCTAGCCCTAACCCTCATTTCTCATCACATTCCACACTCTTCGCCTTCATTCACGAAAACCCAGATCAGCCTAAAATCCCAACTACACAAGTCTTCTCACCCACCAAAATCCTAACCCTAACACTCATTTCTCATCACATTCCACACTCATTCAAGAATAACCCAGACTAATTTTAAAATCCCAACTACACAAAATCTTCACAGGAAAGAAGCTTAATCTCGGCAATGTTTATGATTAAGACAGGAATATACGCTAATTCATGAACCCTAGCTTTTTGCCTGACAAAGTACGAGCAGCAATGATTTCTGGGTTAGCCCCACAATCAATGGCAGTCAAAAATCAGCTATAGCAAAGCCATGAAAAAAGGTGATGCACAGCAAAAAAAAAAACAAGCTTTATTGTGCTTTTTTTGTGTGTGCATTGTTTTGTTGGTGGGGTGAGTGGTGATTGGGAGATCAGAAAAGTTGAGTTACATCCAATAGAAAAAGGATTAAACTTACTAGCAGATTGAGCATTTTTGCATGGAAATGTAGAGCGAGAAAGACTACAGTTGTTGGTCTTTTTCTGCTCTGCTTTCTCTCTCAAAATTTATATAATTGCATACATTGGGATTTTTTTACCATGTAAGAAAATTTATAGAGAGAATTGATTGAGAAAATTTATACAAAAACAGTCTCTAACTTGTTTTCTTCCTCCCACACACACACTCTCTGTCTGTCTCTCTCTCTCTCTCTCTCATGTTCTCTGTTTTCTCTCTCTACTGTTCTCTGCAGCTTCCATGTCTATGCAAGGAAAAATTATTACGTGTATATTTTTACGATTCTATTGGTCATTATAGGATTTGGCTATTTCAGTATCAAGTGCATCATATAAATACTTGACACTTTTTACCGATAGGAATTATTAAATAGAAATTTTATTTTATTTTTTAATAAATAAAATATTTTTTTTATCGGTAAGAGTTTATGAAATTATAATTCAATTAAAATTTTTAAAATTTTTTTATGAAAAATTTTCCGTTTAATAATTGTTGCTAGTCAGAGATCCCAATTACCTGTTCAGTTAAAATTTTAACCAAACACTAGCTATTCTTTTCATCATATTTCTTATTTTTTCTTTTATAAATTACACAACTAATAGAATTTAAAAAAAACACAACCTAATTAAATTTTTTGAATGACATGATAATTCCTCCCATCCAAGCTGCTCTGGTCTTTTAAAAATTGAAGAGTTTAATTACATCAACACCCCTTAAATTATTATTAAATATTACGCTTCATTTATTAATTTGTATTTTTTACCTCTTTTAATTATAAAAATATATCACATTTACACTCTGGCAACTTTAAAAAGGAGTGTATTTGTATAATTTTCAAAATTGAATAGGTCAAAATATACTAATAAAAGAGTAATGTGATATTTGTTAATAATTAAAAGATTAAAACAAAATTGAAATGATAAATGGTAAAATCATTTTATCCGATAAATATCTTAAACACATGAAATAAAATAAATGGTGAATTATACTAATGGTCTCTATAGTTTGAAACTTGTGTCACTTTGGTCCCTAACTTTTCAATTGTGACACATTTGATCTTAAATTTTAAATATTGTTTTAAATAAGGACAATTACCATTGCTTAATTTCCAAGGCAAACTGGTCAATTTGATAAAAATATAAATTAATTTCACAAAAATAAATGTCAAAAAAAATATTTTTGAATTTTTAAAAATTATTTTTACTCACCAAAGATGAAATTGTGTAAAATTGATAAATGTTTTAGACATTTAGTTATTTATTTTTTTATATGTTTAGATGATGATCATGTAATAGGTGGTTGTTTTTTTATTTTCATTTAATTAGATTCTATTTTTTCCAAAGTCACATATGACGACAATTTTGATATCATTATTAAACTAATTCATTAAATCAAAAAATTCAAAAATAAAAATATTTCGTATATTAAATATATCGATTATACATTAAGGTCATGTTTGTTTATCGGTGTGGGAGGAGGGATTGGAGTGTTATAGCTGTGGGTCTCACCCACAACTTGTTTGGTAATGATGTGGGAGGTGGAGTAATAGTACGAGGGGCTTAAAGCATCCACAATGGGATGGCTAAAAAAGTGTATTAAGATTGTGTTATATGACAAAAAGTAATAGAAGTAGGGCCAAAAAATGTTTGTTAAGATGTGTTAAGAGTTTGTTAATTTTAGACAGTGAGTGATGGTGCAATAGATGTGTTAAGGGGTGTGTTAATATGTGTGTTATATATATATATATGTGTGTGTACATAATAAATAAAATAAATATATAATTTAGTTTAATCAAAAATTTCCAGCTCAAAATTAAATTTCAAGTCCAAAAAAAAATCCCAACAAGTAAAAAAAAAAATATTTGCCGTTGACCGGTTAACTGGCCGATCAGCCCGCAAGAACACAAACACACTCCCCTCCGCTAGCTAAAACCATCGCCTCAGATAACAAACAAGTTAACACACATCACTAACACACACACTAACTGATCCACTGCAGCACCAAACAACAAACCTTGCTAGCTAAAACTTACCAACTGACACTAACACTCTCCTTAGCAGCTCCACTGTGAATGCTCTTACTAATCCCATCTCAATAGGGGGATTACCTTGGTGTAATTTTAGATGAGATTAAGAAAATAGTGAGTAAATTGAGTATATTTTACATAATTTTTATTTTTTTATTTTTTATTACCAAGTGCACAAGTTTGTTTTAGTTTTTTTAATATAAAAACAATTTAACAATCTTATTACTAATCATCTCTCATACTATCATTATAACAAACACAATTTACTTAATCCCTTTACTAACAATCCCTACATTAACAATTTTTTCACCAACCATCTTCTCATTAACAATCTCATTCAACTTAATTCGTCAAACCAACGTAACTTAAAAATCTAACAACTACTCATTACATGATTATTATCCAAACACATAACAAAAATTAATTTAGTAAAATAAATAAATAAATGTCTAAAAGATTTATCAATTTTACATAATTTTATCTATGATGGGTAGAAATAATTTTTAAAAATTTTAAAATATTTTTTTGACATTTATTTTTGTCAAATTAGTTTATATTTTATCAAATTGACTATTTTGCTCTTATAATTAAGCAATAGTATCTTCAATTGTCCTTATGTGAAACAAGATTATAAATTCAAGGTCAAATGCGTCACAATTGAAAAGTCAGAAACTAAAATGACATAAATTCCAAACTATAAAGACTGTTAGTGTAATTTATCCAACAATAAAATAAAATTATTAGAAAGAAAACTAAACGATTATAAACTGGTTATAGACACAAAATATTTTTCCTTTAATTATGATATTTATAAAAAAAAAATTCTCTAGTGTTTGGTAGATTTTTTTTTTTAAATTAAAACTAATTTGACAAAATAATTTTTTTTAAATACTTAAAAATTATTTGTGCCCCATAAAAGAAAAAAAATCCTGTTCCGTTATTTTCACCAAATTACCTTTGAAAATAATTGTAAATTATACTCGATGTGTAAAAAATAAGTGATTTTTTTAGTTAAAAAGTCAACAACTTATACAAAAAATTCAAAGATTCTCTTTTATCTTTACTTTTTACACTTCTTTTCGTAAAAATTCAAAAAGTCATTCAAAACATATTAACTTTTTTTACATCATATTTAACTAAAAAATTAAAAAGTTACTAAAAAAACATGTTCTCAAACGAGACCTAAATGTTGAAAGTTGAGTAAATTTTTGTTTCTTTGCATGTGAATGATTCGAATGCCATTTAATCGAAAGGTGTATAAATTATGAAAAATGTCATAAATCTCAAATAATTTACAATTTTTTTGCCAAATTTCTCATATGAGATTCATACAAACTTATATATGTGTGGGTCTCACAAGGTTTGATAAAACATTTGATAGATAATTTAGGGTTCCTAGAATTACTCATAAATTATTGTATCAAATGATATTATTAAATATTAAAACTATGCTTTGTTTGTTTTTGGTTTTCCAAAAAAACATTTCAAAAAAATATTACTTTCTTGTTTTTCTTGTTTTTTTTTTTAAATTTTTATTGAATTTTTTTAATATTTTAAGTAATTTTTTTAATCTTAGATACATCTAACATAAATACACATAAAAGTATTATTTTTGTGAAAAAAAATCTTTTAAAAATTGACTAAATATCAAAAATATAAAAAAAATATGAGAATTCAGTATATATTTTTATATTTTTATGTATTTATTAATTTTTAAGATATTTTTTTACAATTTTTTTACTTTTTAGACATATTTAAATAAGGTGCATCTAAAAAAGTAAAAAAAAAATACTTAAAATTTTAAAAATATTCACTAAAAACAAAATAAATACAAAAAATAAAAAACTCAATTTTAAAAAAATTTAATCAAAAAAACTCAAACCAAACACACACATCCTAAGCTATGTGCAATTGTTTGACAACAATTGTTTTGAGATTTGGGCCAACCCATTTTACATTGGAAATTTTTCTTGAGATTTGCTATTAAACTCCTAGATTTTTTTTTAATAAATAAATAAATAAATACAAATGTCATGTCCTAGACTTCTTGATTATACAAAACAATTAAATAAAGGAATGCCCCTATACCCACTTTTGTTCTTAAAAGAAATTGTTACATTCATCAAAGTTTCTATCTTGTTATTCTCATAATTAACTTCGAGATTTGGTCGCTTTATTATATTATAATTTTTAAATTTTTTTTTATAAATCATGAATTTTAGTAGGAATTAAAAACTAAAATTTAAAATTTCTATCAAAATCTATGACATAGCAATTCAGAAAAAGGAAGAGAATTTTGATCATGGATTTTTACTCTTTTTTTTCCTTTTCATTTTGAAATTCATATCAAAATTTATAATTCAAACAAAGTCTAATAAAAAAATGATTCTATACCGTCTAATGTTTAAATCAGAAAGCGTTATTATACAAATTTAATTTTAAAAATTTAAATTATTTATCTTATAAATTTAATAATTATAGCTAAGCTAAAACAATAATATTGTAAAGTCATATCAAGTATGTATAAGGACAGGGTGGTTAAGTTGGTAAGCTTATGTACTTTTTTTCTTTTTTTTGAACATGAAAAAAAAAGGGTGCTAGATAGTTTTCTCATCACATCTGTAAGTTATGATTTCAAAATAATTGATTGTCTATCAAATTTAATTCGACTCGTAAGAAGGGACTCACTATAGAGATACTAATGAAACTTAGTCACATGTCATAAAAGAGTTTAGGATCAATCGGAGTACAGTGTAACATTTCAAAGAGAACCAATTAAAAATCAAATCATTTTTCACATCCCCCAAGATTTGAATTTAAGTCATCTCTATAGAGAGAAATGCTTTGTCCATTAGGCCACCAAGCAAGGATTCTCTCTTTTAATTCCCTACTTAACTTCCTATTTGATGGGTCATTAGGCTGACTTTTGGGTTCAATTTTGATGATTCGAACAGTTCACATTTTAAAATTTGTCATGTATATCATACCTGTAAAAAATCAAGTCAATCTGATATCAAAAATCACGTGAACTAAAAGTTTTATTAAATAATAAAATTGTTTATTAAATTTTTTTTAATAAACGATTTTTAATTCTTTTGATATTCAATCAATTTGATTTTTTACAAGTATGATGTACATGACAAATTTTAAAATATGAACGGCTCAGATTATTGAAATTAGATTTAAAAGTAGATCCAATAACCCATCAAATAAGAAAATAATGAG